CACTCCAGTTACAGTCCATGAGGTCACAAGGAGGCAGACATGACTGAGCGACTAAGACACTACTGCTAAAGTACTCATATTCATCCATGAATTCTAAACTTTACAGAGTACCTAGCTTGTATGATATGTTAGATATATATACAAAGAGAAGTATAACACAGTTCCTGTCCTCTGCAGGCTTGATTTAATAGATGGAGACAAACTGTAAGTAAATAAATACTATTGTTAATGTCTGTAACAGGATGTTAAAATGGGATTCTTTCTGTTTCAGTTTTGGCTGAGGCTCTAAGGAAAGTAAATTATCCTCACATTCCACAGTAAAGTGGAAGACCATGAAAATTAGAAATTTTAAAAAGGAGGGAGTGGCAAAAGTGCTTTTGCCACTTTTAATTGTCTACTGACTTCCTTACTGCATGCCTAGGGAAAGAGGCTTTAATGGAAATCAGATATATGACCCCTAAGCTGGGTGTCATAGTGGATTAGTGTCTGGCTTATATCTGAGGAACTCATTCATTCAATACTTATAGAACATTTATTAAGTATTCTTAATATTTAATAGTATTCTTAATACTTAATAGTATTCACTATTCTAGGCACAGGTGACTTTAGATGTGATTTGTTCACCTCTGCCATTTAAATCCTCTGCCTTCATGGAGGTAATATTTTAGGGGAATCTAAGCAGAAAGAAATTTTGATTGGCTGTGAAGATGAGTTTTTAAGTTGGTCAAATGTCTGTACTCCCAGAAATGTGAGGCAAAGCCATTCTGTGGGTGTTTCTTTGAGTCAGATATGGGCTGCCAGAGAGGGGTCAAGAGGAAGTATGAGGAATCTTCCAGAGAAAGAAGCTAGAGGTGTATACCTTAAATGCTTTAGACCAGATGACATGTATTTACCCAAGTGAAAGTAAGAGATTTGGGCATTTGCTCATTGGGGATGGAAACGAGTCAAGTGCAAACACCTGCTAAGCTCAGAGAGCATCAACAGAACTGTACTAGTCTTGTTAAGAACTCTCTTGCCATTTCCCATATTTCATCTTGAAGAAGTAACACAACTGAGTTGGTGGTGGTGGTGGGAGGCACATGGAGAGAGATTTTAGATTGGGACATAGAAAGGAAGTCAACCATTCCCTTTTAACCATGGCAAGCTCAAGCTGGCAGACGAGGGAAGGGGCACTCTAGAAAATATATTGATATAACTTTTCTTCTTTGCTATTTAGCAGTATTTATCATGATTGAAAATTTAGGTTCCCTTTGAACTGCAATTCTATTTCTATGAATTCATCATAAGGAGGTAATCAGGAAACCACACAAAATGTGTGCATATACAAGAAGCAACAGTTAGAACTGGACATGGAACAACAGACTGGTTCCAAATCAGGAAAGAAGTATGTCAAGGCTGTATATTATCACCCTGCTTATTTAACTTATATGCAGAGTGCATCATGAGAAATGCTGGGCTGGATGAAGCACAGCTAGAATCAAGATTGCCAGGGCAAATATCAATAACCTTAGATATGCAGATGACACCACTGTTATGGCAGAAAGTGAAAAAGAACTAAAGAGCCTCTTGATGAAAGTGAAAGAGGAGAGTGAAAAAGTTGGCTTAAAACTCAACATTCAGAAAACTAAGATTGTGGCACCTGGTCCCATCACTTCATGGCAAATAGATAGGGAAACAATGGAAACAGTGACAGACTTTATTTTGGGGGGCTCCAAAACCACTGCAGATGTTGACTGCAGCCATGAAATTAAAAGACGCTTGCTCCTTGGAAGAAAAGTTATTACCAACCTAGATAGCATATTAAAAAGCAGAGACATTACTTTGTCAACAATGGTCTGTCTAGTCAAAGGTATTGGGTTTCCAGTAGTCATGTATGGATGATCATGTATGGATGTGAGAGTTGGACTATAAAGAAAGCTGAGTGCCAAAAAATTGATGCTTTTGAACTGTGGTGTTGGAGAAGACTCTTGAGAGTCCCTTCAGTCCATCCTAAAGGAAATCAGTCCTGAATATTCATTGGAAGGACTGATGCTGAAGCTGAAACTCCAATACATTGGCCACCTGATGCGAAGAGCTGACTCATTTGAAAAGACCCTGATGCTGGGAAAGACTGAAGGCGGGAGGAGAAGGGGATGACAGAGGATGAGATGGTTGGATGGCATCACCGACTCAATGGACATGAGTTTGAGTAAACTCCAGGAGTTGGTGATGGGCAGGGAGGCCTGGCGTGCTGCAGTCCATGGGGTTGCAAAGAGTCAGACATGACTGAGTGACTGAACTGAACTGAACAAGAATATTCATTATAGTATTTTTACAGTAGCAAAAACTTTGAAATAATTTAATTTCCCACCCATGGTGGTGGTGGTTGGTGGTTAAGTCACTAAGTCGTGTCCGACTCTTGCGACCCAGTGGACTGTAGCCCACCAGACTCCTCTGTCCAGGGGATTTCCCAGGCAAGAACACTGGAGTGGGTTGACATTTCCTTCTCCAGGGACTCTTCCTCAAGCAGCTACTGAACTGGGTCTCCTGCATTGCAGCAGATTCTTTACCAGTAACAGAGCCACCAGGGAAGCCCAGAGTTATGTAAATTATTGTATTTCCACACAACTGAATACTATACAATTATTTTAAATTATGAATATGAAAAATGACCACACTTTTTATATCTAGTATAGAAGAGTTTATCATTATTTTGGTGTTAAAAAGTTATATAATACATATATGTGAGGCATGTCAATACAGAGAGGTATGTAGAAAAGAACTGTCAAAATTCTTATGTGCTAAATAATAATTTTAAGCATCCATTCAACATTCACTCATTTAACATTATTTATTAAGCTCTTAATATATGGTAGGTACTATGCAGAGACATTACTTTGCCAACAAAGGTCCGTCTAGTCAAAGCTATGGTTTTTCCAGTGGTCATGTATGGATGTGAGAGTTGGACTGTGAAGAAAGCTGAGCGCTGAAAAATTGATGCTTTTGAATTATGGTGTTGGAGAAGACTCTTGAGAGTCCCTTGGACTGCAAGGAGGTCCAACCAGTCCATCCTAAAGGAGATCAGTCCTGGGTGTTCATTGGAAGGACTGATGCTGAAGCTGAAACTCCAGTACTCTGGCCACCTTATGCCAAGAGTTGACTCTTTGGAAAAGACCCTGATGCTTGGAGGGATTGGGGGAAGGAGGAGGAGGGGATGACAGAGGATGAGATGGCTGGATGGCATCACCGACTCGATGGGCGTGAGTTTGAGTCAACTCTGGGAGTTGGTGATGGACAGGGAGGCCTGGCGTGCTGCAATTCATGGGGTCGCAAAGAGTTGGACACGACTGAGCGACTGAACTGAACTGAACTGATGCTAGGTGCTAGGAAAACAAAAGAAAGCAATCTTTTAATTTAACCTACTAAATTTACAGTGATTTTGAAAAATGACAACAAGCAATATTGGTGAATTTAAGAAGGGGATCACTCATATACAGTGGTTGAGAATACATTCTGGTAAAACATTTCTGCAGAGCAATTTAGTACTTTTTATAAAAGCTTTAGAAATATCCATTTCATTTGACCCTACAATCCCATTTTTAAGAATTTATTCTAAAAAAAGAAGTACAGATGTGTACACAAAAGATATGTCATAAATGAGCTGCTTGGGAGAGGGGTAACCTAAATATTAAACGTTAGGAATTTGAGTAAATAAAATATCCAATGCATAATACTAGGGAGTCATGTTTAACCTAGAAAATGTTTAACATGAAAAAATGCCCAAAATATATAAGTGACAAGGTTTAAAAAAAGAGTCTGATACTAAATTGCTGGGAACTTGAGCAAATCATTTAAGTGAGCTGGGTCTCTTCTTCATCTGCAAAGCTTAGATACTTAAGGACCCTCTCAACTCTTCCCTTATCTGATTCTACGTATCCATCCTTTTTTATAAAGAAAATGTCATCAATTGTGGCTCAGTTGGTAAGGAATCCACCTGCAATGCAGGAGACCTGGGTTCGATTCCTGGGTTGAAACGATCCCCTGGAGAAGGGAAAGGCTATCCACTCCAGTATTCTGGCCTAGAGAATCCCACGGACTGTGTAGTCCATGGGGTCGCAAAGAGTCAAACACGACTGAGCGACCTCATTTCTCTTCACTTCACGTCATCATTGGCAGTCGGTAAATGTTAGGTTGGCAGCTGATTGCATAACTGTCCTAAACTATTCCGTTTGAAGATTTACTAAAAGATTCTCACAAAAGAGAAAATACGTGTCTTGGAAGAAAAATCTCCACCTTTTCCCTTAGTTGCCTAATCTTTCAGCATCGTGCTTGGTTTTGAAGGTACAGAGAGACACTGGCGCCCTCAAAGAGTGTAAAGTCTCTCGGGGTGAAACCAATAATAGTGTTAAAAAGTGATCGATGATAACAAATCCTTGAAAGATGAGTTCTCCAAGGAGTAGAAGAAAGGATTCCAAAGTAGAAAGAAACGCATGTTCACAAACAAGATAGAGGGAGAGGATGTTTGGCACAAAAACGGACCATTATTTGTGGCCTTTCTTTCAGAATCGTTCTCACGTTACACAACACCTCATACATCGCCTAAAGGGAGACTGACTGAGCCACACCTTCGATCACCTGTAGTCTCTGGTGCATCTGGCCAGGCCAGTAAGAAACTGACAGGAGTCGGCAACACGCAGGTAACTTCACCAAGAACCCAAGAAGGGGTACTTGGTAGCTGCAGCCCAGCAGCTCCTAGCTCCCGCGGGCACTCCTGGCCCAAGGTTTCCAGCCAATCTCAGTTCCTCTAGCTTCCCAGGCCCCTCCCACTTCTGAGCCGCCTGAGAGCTTTAAGGGCGCGGAAGGAAGGGAAGCCTATCGATATCTCTGGAATAAACTATTCTACCCTGCGCTGCCGCCGTCAAAGTCCGCAGCCTTCTCTGTAGATCGCCGAGCGGAAGCTTCGGCGGTGCTGCTTCATCCGCAGGTTTGCAGGAGGCCGAAGCCAGGCTCGCGCCGGAACCATGGTGCGTTGGGTTCCGAGCTGAAGCAGGGTTGGGGAAGAGGTCCGCTGGCTGAGGGTTGGGGAGCTTCTTCTCATGCCTTCCTTAGAGCGGTCCGGGGCCATGGGACTTGGGAACCGTAGCCGACGGGATGGTTCAGGCGGTGATTCAGCATCTCCGGCCTGGCCGGGAGAGTGGAGATCGGTAGACTGTGCTGCCGGTGCGACCTTTCCCTGGGGTTTGTTTCGCTTTCTACCGGGCCTTGAACAGTATCTTCTCGGTCTGCCAGCCGATTTCGCTCCTCAGGTTCCTTCAGTCGAGTAGATTCCGAGCGGTCCAGAGAGGGCCCTAGTGCTCTGTGTGGAAGAGAGGAAAAATAGGGACTTAACTTCAGACCTCCTTGTACTGCCAATTGCGGACTTGATTCCAGGGTTTGGGTTGCTGCCTGGGTCGCGTTCATTTTCTTGGGGGTCCCTCTGCAATCTTTTTCTTAGATCTCTGTCAGAAAAAGCCCTTTTCAATCACTTTGTCTAGTCACCTGATAAGTACAAATGAGTGAACCGAAGCTGATATTAGTGATGAAATCAGGGTTATAATATAGAGCTAAGGGATTCCGGGCCTGTGCCTGCCATTCCAACGCTCAGCCTTTTCAACCCCATGATTAGTCTCCCAAGTACTGTGCTGGTGAACTTGTTTTAATACCGTCTTTAAAGCCGTAATGGGTCTGTTTTTATGGCAATTTGTGTCCACTTCTGACTTCTTGGGGACATTCTTGTGTTCATTACGTTCAGTATGTGCCTTTACATATTCAGTATGAATGTTTTAAGTGCAGTGAAGGTTCAAAGATAAATCAGACATATCCCAAATCATAGTATGAGGCAGAAAAGGGAGTGTAGATCAAGAACTGGTGGGAGTATGTTTTGAGATTTGGGGAGAAAAGATGAAGATTTCAAGAGGTAGACATTTGAGCTGACTTAAGAAGAGGTAATGCTTTTGACCATTTATTAGGGTCTGATATAAGGGAAGAATATAAGCAAAGATAGAAAGGAAAGTGGACACATAGGAACCGAGACTGGTTGGGAAGCTAAGTACCATCTAGATGCGCCCTGCCCTTATCCAACCGCCCCCCCCACCCAGCTCCTTATAAATGTAAAATTGGCTTACAGCTGATTACAGTAGTACTCTTCCAGTGAGACTGCAGTAATAGCTTTTCCTTAATGCTGGATGGAGAGAGATGGGAGAACATTTTTTATTGATAGAGCTTGTTAAGATTTCGAATTTGTAATGTTCTTGTGTTTAATAGGTCTTTTTCATTTACTTTCAGTTTCGCAACCAGTATGACAATGATGTCACTGTTTGGAGCCCTCAGGTAAAATGTTTTATATTATTTCTGTGAAGTGACTTTTGGTGACTGCAATGTGTTTAGAAGCTCATGGGATTGTAGGAAGTGAGAAAATGGAACATAATCATTTTATATGTTCCTGAAACCTAAGTTTATCATTAAAGTCAGTCTTTTAGTTTTAAGAAACAGCATTTGAGATGTAACTATGCTTACTTGAAATTTGGGATCACTGAATTATTTTAAATACATAGAAAGGTCTTGTAATGACTCTATGGTGTGTGTGTGTGTGTGTTTTCATTTTAGGGCAGAATTCATCAAATTGAATATGCAATGGAAGCTGTCAAACAAGGTTCAGCCACAGTTGGTCTGAAATCAAAAACTCATGCAGTGTTGGTTGCATTGAAGGTAAGTAAAGCAATAAATATACCTTCCTCCTTTAGAAAACATTGTAAAATGTTAGTTTCACTATATAATAAAACTATAAACTTACTCTTTTGTCTTAAATGGTGTTTCTATTTAGAGAGCACAGTCAGAACTTGCAGCTCATCAGAAAAAAATTCTCCATGTTGATAACCATATTGGTATCTCAATTGCGGGACTTACTGCTGATGCTCGACTGTTATGGTGAGTATGATCCTGGAAAACAAAAGAAGCATCCCTTTTGATTCGTAATTGATTACATTTCTAGAAAAGATCCAGGTATTTTAGGAAGTTGTCTGCCAGAGTGTTTATAAGTTAAGATTATTAATACCTTGATGGATTCAGGCTCAGTTACTATGTATTCCATTTCTTGATCACTGTAGCAATAACTAATAGGATTAACCATATTAACATTAATGCTTTTTAGAAGTCATTGAATAATGTATGACTTGTTGACTCGGTATATATAGTTTGATGTTAGATCTGAGAAGAGCTTGACACTTCAGGTTTCTGAAGGATCAGCTGAACCACCCTTGCTGTCTTTCATATACCAGTATTCATTTGACATTTATTTTTTGCAAAGCTCAATGCTGGATACAAAGAGTATACAAAGGTGAATCTGACATAGATCTCATCTAATAAGAGCCTAAAATCTAGTAGAATATCTGTAATACAAGGGAGAAAGTGGAGAGCAACAGGTATATTTCTGTGAGGGTGGGGTGGGGGTAAAGATTATTTCCAGTTGAGAGGCATAGTGCAGATGAAGAGCTGGCGCTTTGGGATTACACAGTCTTTAGTTCCCACCTTTAACACTCAATCTGACATTGCTCTAGTTATTCACACTCTCAGTTTTTTTAGTATTTTTTCCTAAGGTTATTGATAAATAGCTTAACATGTAGAATACTTCATACAGCATCTTTCAGTGTATGTGTTGGTAAGTGGTAGGTAGTTAGCACAAGTAATCTCTTGTCTGATTTAATTAGGAAAGGAGGAATATAAACAGCAAGGACAATTAATAATGCTGATGTTTAAAATTTTCAAGTTATTTGGTGAGTCCCCTGCTCTCTTAGGTCAGCAATATAGTAACTGCATTAGTATTTCCATTAGCTGTTGAAAATATATGTTGCATTGTCAAATGTTTTACTTAACCCAATCTTTCAAAAATATTGTCATGTCACATGTAATCATTTAAAAGCTTTATTAATAAGATATTTTACATTGTTTATTGCACTAAATCTTTGAAATTTCATGTATATTTTGTACTGAAGACACATCTTAATTCAGACTAGCCACTTTTTCAGTGCTTACTAGTCACTTGTTATTAGTACCTGCCATATTGAGCAATGCAGTGTTAGACAGCCTTGGGAAATGGACTTAAGTGAAAGTAGTGAACAAGTAGCTTGGTTACTGCAGCCAACATTTGATCACCGAATGTGACACGCATAAACTAGACAGAGCAATATGAAAGAAAAGTTTGTCCTTTTGGCTTAATAGCTAGGTGTGAATTTTCTTTTCCCCAGTGTTGCATTTGCTTGCATCTTGTCGGGTTTAAGAGACTTAACAGTGTAGGGTCTCCTCTAGAGTACTGCTATGGATGGAAGTAACATTGACAGGAACATGTTAACAGTGCCCTGGTATGGATTCAGTTTCTTCTCTTTGTTCTATTGGGGAAATTTTTGTCAGCTTTCAAGGAAAAAAGCAAAGAAGTTATTCTTTTTGAAAGCTCAAGACATGGAATTCAGACAGTCTTGCTGACAGTGGGAAGGGTAAGAGAAGAGAGGTTGCTCTTTTCCTATTGTGCAGCCTTTTCTTCTCTGTTCTGTAAAGTGCTCTGAGGCAAAGGTTATCAGGAGCTAAGAAACATGTAGTCACAAACTTAGGTAAAATTGGTAAAACTTTAAGGTTAGTCACTTTCAATAATAGAGCATTTAAAATAGAGAGGAGATTTGATAGAAAAATGCATCCTTGTCATTATATGTTTATGGTTCCATTGTATGGATGTCACTCATGTAAACATCTGGAAGAAAGCAAAAAGAAACCAAATTATTTGATTAGAATGACTCTGTGATTTGAAATTACCAGTTTTTCTTCTTTCTTTTTCAGTAATTTTATGCGCCAGGAGTGTTTGGATTCCAGATTTGTATTTGACAGACCTCTTCCTGTGTCTCGTCTTGTATCTCTAATTGGAAGCAGTATCCTTTTTATTTATGCATTTATTGTAGCATTTATGGATGTAGACTTTAAAGGGTCTTGATACTTAATTGTTATGTTACTTATTAGGAATATGATAATATATAACATAGGTAAGATTGTGCAAACTTTAAGTTTAGTCACTTTTAAGTAAAAGAATGCTCAAAGTCTTTAGAAGGAGAGTTGTAGGGAGTTTTACTATGGAAGAATAGATTCTAAATGAGTTGGGTTGTTCTTTGTATCAACCTTTATAGATAAGCAATTAATATGTTCCAGATATAGAAAAGCCCAATTTCAGAAAAACTGAGCATCAATTTTAGAAGAGATTTAATGTTTTTTTACTGGTGGTTTTAGATATTCCCCCCAGATCCTTGCCCCTTATAGCCAAAATGAATGAAATTCTCTACACCAAATAAGATCATCTTGCTAGCACTCACTTTGGGTTTGGTGGATAGTCAAACATCTTATAACACTAAACCAAAGAAATACTTGTTTTATTTTCTTCTTCTTGGGGTAGTGGATTATGCAGCAATTAAAAAAAAACAGAACTCTCTTTGATAATGTTTAATTTGAAATTAAAGATAGTACTGTACTTCTTGTTAGAACAAACTCTTTAACTAGTTTAAGAAACCCAGATACCAACCCAGCGATACGGCCGGAGACCATATGGTGTTGGGCTGCTCATTGCTGGTTATGATGTAAGTTCATAGAGTATTGTTATATTTTAATGATTTTTTTTTTTAAACTAACAAATTTTCTAATTTTTAGCTCAATCAGAGTCAAGAATTATGCAGTGTATTTTTCTTCTATTTGTAGGATATGGGTCCTCACATTTTCCAAACTTGTCCATCTGCTAACTATTTTGACTGCAGAGCTATGTCCATTGGAGCCCGATCTCAATCAGCTCGTACTTACTTGGAGAGGCATATGTCAGAGTTTATGGAGTGTAAGTGATTTTTCTTTTTCGCCCTCCTAGCCTTTATGTAGTGAATAAACACAGTATACTACATGAAAAAAAAAATCTACTTCTCTTAAAAAGATTAAGTCCATGAACTGTATACTGTTTCTGCCATATATACTAGTTTTTACTTTCTCTGGCTACCAGGGTAGTTTCAGTCACGGGTGGAATGTTTTCAAAATATAACTGTATTCCTTACCTTGAAGATTCTTGATTCAGTTGGCCTGAAGTTTTGTCCTAGCCAGAGTTGAGAGCCACTGTACTAGTTACCACTTGTAAATTCTGTTCACAGCTTTTATTTTTCTGTGATTCTTATTTTTAGTCACATAGACATTTCTGCAATAAGTAGTCCATAAATAAATAACTCAGTTTAGCTGTAGAAAGAAAAGTAAAAGATGTAACATGATAATAGGGCAGGTTTTCAAATGGTTTGCTTATGCAAGGATCTTAGATTTTAACACATGCTTTTTATGCATCTATTAAGGTAATCAGGTGTCCACCACCACCCCGCCGCACCCCCCCCCCATTCTGTTGTGGTATATTGCATTCATTGACTTTTTTTTTTTAATTTATTTTTCTATTGAAGGATAACTGCTTTACAGAATTTTGTTGCTTTCTGTCAAACCTCAACATGAATCAGTCATAGGCATACATATATCCCCTCCCTTTTGAACCTCCCTCCCATCTCCTGCCCCATCTCACCACTCTAGATTGATACAGAGTCCCTGTTTGAGTTTCCTGAGCCATACAGCAAATTCCTGTTGGCTATCTGTTTTACATATGGTAATGTAAGTTTCCAAGCTACTGTTTCCATACATCTCACTGTCTCCTCCCTTCTCCCCATAAGTCTGTTTCTCCATTGCTGCCCTGAAAATAAATTCTTCAGTACCATTTTTCTAGATTCTGTATATATGCATTAGAATACAATATTTATCTTTCTCTTTCTGACTCACTTCACTCTGTATAATAGGTTCTAGGTTCATCCACCTCATCAGAATGGACTCAAATTTGTTCTTTTTTATGGCTGAGTAATATCCCATTGTGTATATGTACCACAACTTCTTTATCCATTCATCTGTCAGTGGACATCTAGGTTGCTTCCATGTTCTAGCTATTGTAAATAGTGCTGCAGTGAACAGTGGGATGCATGTGTCTTTTTCAATTTTGGTCTCCTCAGGGTATATGCCCAGGAGTGGGATTACTGGGTCATATGGTGGCTTTATTCCTAGTTTATTAAGGAATCTCCATACTGTCTTCCATAGTGGCTGTATCAATTTACATTCCCACCAACAGTGCACGAACATTCCCTTTTCTCCACACCCTCTCCAGCATTTATTGTTTGTAGACTTTTGATGATGGCCATTCTGACTGGTGTGAGGTGATACCTCATTGTAGTTTTGATTTGCATTTCTCTATAATGAGCAGTGTTGAGCATCTTTTCATGTGTTTGTTAGCCATCTGTATGTCTTCTTTGGAGAAGTGTCTGTTTAGGTCTTTTTCCCACTTTTTGATTGGGTTGTTTGTTCTGGCATTGAGTTGTACGAGCTGCTTGTATATTTTAGAATTAATCCTTTGTCAGTTGTTTCATTTGCTATTATTTTCTCCCATTCTGAGGGTTGTCTTTTCACCTTGCTTATAGTTTCTTTTGCTATGCAAAAGCTTTTAAGTTTAATCAGGTCCCCCTTGTTTACTTTTGTCTTTATTTCTGTTACACTAGGAGGTGGGTAATAGAGGATCTTGCTTTGATTTATGTCATCGAGTGTTCTGCCTAGCATTCATTGACTTTTGAATGTTCAGCCAGCTTTGCATTCCTGGGACAAATCCTTCTTGGTCATGATGTATAACATAAATTATATATACGTAAAATGTTTGTGGAAACATATAAACATTGCTGGATTTAGTTTGCTTATATTTTGTTGAGGTTTTTGTGTGTTAATCGGGGATACTGATCTGTAGTTTTACTTTCTTTTCGTAGCTTTGTATAGTTTTGATATCAGGGCAATACTGACCACATACAAGCAATTGGAGACTCCTTTATAAAGAGCAAATACAGTGACAAACGTTTTACAGAGTACATTTTACGAAACTTTGAGCTGTAAAATCCTGATTTGTATCAGGGTTTTCATTTAACTTAGCATAAGAAAAGGGCAACTTTAGTAACAAAAATCATGTATTCTCTCATTAAATAAAACAGTAGCAATCTAATAATAGGTTATTAGAAGATTGTATGGCAAAACCTAAGACTTTTTTTTATTATGATATATTTAGTGTGTGACTAAAACCATGATTTCAGACTATAGACCTGACAAATAAATAAAGGAAGCCTAGCGTGAAAATAGAATTAAGAAATAATTGTTAATTTATTATATTTAGGCAATTTGAATGAATTGGTTAAGCATGGTCTGCGTGCCTTACGGGAAACCCTTCCTGCAGAACAGGACCTAACTACAAAGGTAAATATAACATTTTCCAATTGGCGATATTAACATTATAGTTTAATCATTTATTATACAAATGTAAGTAATAGAGGTGTGTATACTTCGAGTTCTTTAATTTGCAAGATGGTTTCCTCGGCTCATTCTTTCTCTTTAAGATATTCACTAAATGACTGATTTTGAAATGATTTTTAAACATTTCTTTTTGGTATAAAGCAATAAAACATATAATTCTGTTGCAGAATGTCTTTCATCAAGAGATAGGAATATCTTTATATTTTTAATAAACATTGAGCGCCAATCACATGCAGGCAGTAGGCACTGAGAAAATATAATGCATACAACAAAAACATCTTGGCATTCCTGGGACATACATCCAGATGGGCAAAGAGAGACAGTGTACCCATAAGTATATTATTTAAGGATATTAGAATGTGATAAATGCTTAGAAAAAATAAAACAGGTTTAAAAGGAGAAAAAATGGCCAATAGGGTATAAGAAAGAGGCATGGTGGGTATAATTTAACATAGAGTGGTGTAAGATTGTCTCACTGAGAAAGTGAAATTTGAGGGAAAGATGTAAAAGAGTTGAGAGAGTGAACTATGCATATGGGGCCTTGAGTTCAGAATGTTCCTAGTATTCAACATAAGGAGGCCAGTTGTGTTGGAGTCAGTAATCAAGAGGAGCTGCTGCTGCTAAGTCACTTCAGTGTCCAACTCTGCGCGACCCCACAGACGGCAGCCCACCAGGCTCCCCCGTCCCTGGGATTCTCCAGGCAAGAACACTGGAGTGGGTTGCATTTCCTTCTCCAATGCATGAAAGGAAAAGTGAAGTCGCTCAGTCGTGTCCGACTCTTAGCGACCCCATGGACTACAGCCTACCAGGCTCCTCCGTCCATGGGATTTTTCCAGGTGAGCATACTGGAGTGGGTTGCCAGTGCAATCAAGAGGAGAAGGAATAAAGTCAGAGAGGTAATGGAGGCCACATAGCATATGTCTTGTAAACATTGTAGGTACTTTGAATTTTACTCTGAGTTTGAGCAGAGCAATACTGTGGCTTGATTTAGATTTTAAAAGTCACTCTAGTTGCCATTTTGAGTGGGGGCATGGGTGGAAATAGTTTCAAGGCTGTTACAGTAATTGAAGTGATAGACTGTGATAGATTAGAGCAGAGTCATAGAGTTGGAGATGATGAAAAGTGGTTCAATTTTGCATATATTTTGAAATTAGAACCAGAAAGGTTTGCTAACAAATTGGTTGTGGGGTATGAGTTTAAAAAATGCCTTTAGCATTTTTGCCTGAATAGAGGAACGATAGACTTATGATTTACTGAGATGGATGAGACATTTGGAGGAACAGATTTTGGGGTTAAGGTCATAGAGGAAGATCAGGCAGTTAGTTTAGAACATACAAAATTTGAAATGCCTCTTGTTTGTCCATTTGGTGATACAGAATAAGTGATTATTGGATGTTCACCCCCTAGAGTTTTTTGGAGATTGGTTTATCCTTTAACTGAAGTTTTGAAGTCTTTGTGTTAAAAATGGTATTTAGAGACTGGCCAGGATTAGATTTCTGAAAGATTAGAATAAATTTGAAGACAAGTTTGAAGACTTGGTCAAGGGTACTCTATCCTTTCGAGATTAGAAGGTGAGAGTAGGAATCAGCAAAAAGGGACTGAGAAATATGCCAGGGAGGTAGGAGGAAAACATGGAAAATGAGGTATCTTTAAAAGGAAATGAAGAAACTGCAGTCATCCATTGGAATCAGTGGTAGGGGAATTAGTTCCAGAATCCCCTACCATGGATCCCTAAATCCAAGGGCGCTCAAGTCCCTTATGTAAAATGATGTCATACTTGCATATAGCCTATACACAATCCTCCTGTATAGCTGAAATTATCTCTAGATTACCTGTGTCACCTAACACAATGTAAATGCATGTAAATAGTTGTAATTGCAATATAAGTGCTGTGTGAACAGTTGCCAGGGCACAGCAAATTTAAGTTTTGCTGTTCAGAACTTTCTGGAGTTTTTTTCCCCAAATATTTTTGATCCATGGTTGGTTGAACCCACAACTAACAAATGAAGAACCCACCAATAAAGAGGTGAACTGACTTTTAAGGAGAAGAGAGTAAAGCATTACAGTAAGCCATGAAAGATGTGGACTGAGAATTAACAGTTAGATTAGCAGTGATGTTACTGAAACTTGACTAGACAGTCTTAATGGAATGGAGGGGAAAAGTGTGCTAGGAATAGTCAGGAGAAAATGAGAGAAATTGGAGACAGCTTTTTGGAGGAGACTTTCTGTTACGGGTCCAGAGAAAGGGGGTGGTGGTTGGAAGAGAATGTAGTGGGAAAAAAAAGGGGGTTTGTTTTGGTTTTTTAAGATGGGAGAGATTATAATAGTTTGCTGCATGGTTATAAGAATAATCCAGTATCAAGAAAAAGATTTATGGAACTTCTCTGGTGGACCAGTGGTTAAGACTGCACTCCAATGCAGGGGGCATGGGTTCCATCTCTGGTTGGAGAACTAAGGTGTCCTGCATGCTGCATAGCGCAGAAATAAATAAATAAACAAGTAAAGATGTGCACTAAGGAGATTAAACATCATTATTAAGAAAATAAAAAATAAAAACATCTATATAGGATAAAAATGAGAACTGCTGGACCAATCACCAATAGCACCTAGGTGAAAAGATAAGCTTCAGAGAGGACTGGGGCTCTTCATTCCCAGTAACACGAAGGGACAGAATCTAGGGACAGATAAAGGAAAGATTGGATACTATGGGAGCTTATGAACATTCTCTTCTGATTGCTTCTGTTTTCTCAGTTGAATAGAAGCAGGGTTTTGAGCTGCAAGAGAAATGGAGAATGTTAGAAAGAGTTGTCCAGGGAAGGGGAGATTGAATGATCTAGAAACTCGTATAAAACAACAACTAAAGGCCTCCTTGAGGTTAATTATCACTAGAGAGTTCATTTACCATGTTATAAAATACATTTTGTTATGATTGGGTTATATATGTTATATATATATATATATATATATATAATAGTTAACATGTGTGTGAAGACTTTATAACCTGCATAATCTTTTTAAGCAGCATTTCCTATCATAAAAATAATTTTTCAAAAAATTAGGAAAGTACATTAAAGTACATTAAATTGTTTTTGTTTGTTTTAAAAATACCTATAATGCCATCACTCCAAGATGACTGTCTTTTAAATTTGGGGTATACAGTTGACTATTGGCATTTACAACTTGGAAAAGTTGGCTCAGGTATCTGGCTTTCTGATTTTACATTTTTACTGAATCATAGAGAATGCCCTATATATCCTTAATGTCTCAAGTTCTCACTGAAATTTTAATCTTACAGGAGCTCTACTGTACTGGTTATCATTCACTGAACATTTTAAGAGTTGCTTTTTAATATTTCCATGTAGAACATAGTTCTGAGTCCCCTAAACTAAATATTTTAGAACCCAAAATTTATTTCCTTAAGAACCGTCATGTCTTACATGTTACACAAGGAACAAATTTAATTCTTAGAATATTTACCTCTCAGATGGTAAAGAGTGAAGGCTTACTTCTTAGCAAATGGTTTGTTTCTTCACACTGGTCTTCACATTCTGACTTTGAGCCAAGTTGCAAATTTCTAGGTGACATAGACCTTCAGGATTGTTCGTGGTTATCAAAAGTGAATATTAAATCTGCATATTACAAAAGCTTACTAGTTTCCTTTTTTTCCCTAAGTTTTTTTTTTTGTCTCATTCAAGTGCTATATAAATTTTTATTCAACTTTTTTCATTTTATCATAAGCATATTTCCAACCTACATTCTCTTGATTTTTAATTTTTACCTTTTTTTTCCCCTTCAGAATGTTTCCATTGGAATTGTTGGTAAAGACTTGGAGTTTACGATTTATGATGATGATGATGTGTCTCCATTCCTGGAAGGTCTGGAAGAAAGACCGCAGAGAAAGGCACAGGTATATAACTAATTATAACCAAGAGACTAATTCTATTGTAAATTGCTATTCCTGCCACAACTGTGTAAATCTACTGTTTTTGTCTTTAATTATTGAGATAGGCTCATAATTCATGTGGCAGTAGGAAAACTAAGAACTAATACTGAGGGGTTCAGTGATCTCCGTAAAACACAAAAAGGGTGATTTGGTTCTCTGTTGTAGCTTCTCAGTTCTTTGTGTTGATGGGCTCAGCTAGATGGTTCTTTGTCTTATGTCACTTTGGGTGTCTCAAACATTGCATTCAGTTGAGGGGGCAGGGCTGGAACATCCAAGATGGCTTTACTCATGTGTCTTCTTTACTCACATTTGCTAGGTATCTTGGAGGGACAGGTAGAAGGGTGGCTGGGCCTCTGTCCATGTAGTCTCAGGGCCTCTCCTTCACCAGAGTATCTCTGGCAGGAAGCAGCTCAGAGGTTGCAAAAGTTCAGAAGCTCAGAAGTGCAAGCTGCCAGGCATTCTTAAGGCTGAGGCCCAGGACTGGCACAGCATTCTTTCTTTACATTCTGTTGGTTAAAGCAAGTCATAGGGCTAGCTAAGATTCTATCAGAGGTGGGACTGAGAGAAAACTCACTGGTGACCAGCTTGGGAAACTAAGTTGACTCTTCACAAATACTGAGAAGAGGATCAAGAAGTACTGATGAATCTCAGATTAAATACTGGCCTTTTTTTGTCAAAAGTTTGAATACACATTTACTTTTGTAGGTGCTTATTTAATAGCTATGTAATTGGAAAAAAAAGTATCTTGTACAGAAATATCTTCTACAGCATGAATTCTTTTTTTAACTTGAAAAAGATGTTGGTATTATTTGGAGCAGCAAGATTTGCATTATTTAACTGCTGTTGGGAACAGTGCAGCATAGTACCTCACAATTGGAAAATATTTTTGCTGTGTTTATTAGTGCTAAGGAGGAAAAGAATGTCTAAAGTGTGTCGGTTCTATTTTTAAGGCTAGTAGTGATAAGAAAAGCCATTATTCTTGAGCAAAACAAAGTATGACGAAATGCTGGAATTGTTCATTGCTTTTTATTATGTAATATTTGTGAGTAAAAGTATATATTGGTTAAGTGTTCTTTTTACATACTTTCTTTTTTCTTCCTCTCTTAAGCCTACTCAACCTGCTGATGAACCTGCAGAAAAGGCTGATGAACCAATGGAACATTAAACAATAAACCAGTCTATATATGTATTGTCATACATGTAAGAATGCAGGAGCACATACTGATGACAATAATTTATACTTTGAACCAAAAGATGCAGAATGGTGGGATAGAATGGTATGTTTTAGGAATCAGTTCAGATGTGAGTTTTTCCTAAGCTGCCACCAAAACCATATAATTGGGTTCATTTTTCTTTAAGATGGTCTCTATAATCATTTTCTAGAAAGTATAGTTCTCTCTACTAATGTTTTTATATGAAGAACATAGTGTCTTTGTGGTTTTAAAGACAACTGTGAAATAAAATTGTTTCACCTGCTGATGTATCAGGTTTTGCTTTTTAAGTAGCTTCAACTGTAAATAGTAGTCCGAGATTACAGCTGTGTCATCATCATATGTGGTCACCATGTGTGCCAATTAAATTGCCTTATTTTTAGTGACAGGAAAAATATTACCTCTTATATATAACAGCCTTATACTAATACCCCAGCGAATAGACTGGCTGCATGAGAAAACTCCATGGAGGTTTGGTCCAGAATACTGATTTTTAGAGTTTAACCTTGGGGATTCCGAGTAAAACCTAAGAAAAAATCACTTTCTAATAATAGTAGTAGGATGTAGTGGGAAGATTATTATCATGGGAATGATTTTTCTTTACAACCAGCAGATGGCAGTAGTATCATCTGTGGTCTCAGTGTAGGGAAGTTTTGCAAAAATCAGTTCAGTTCAGTCGCTCCGTCGTGTCCAACTCTTTTCGACCCCATGGACTGCAGCACACCAGGCCTCCCTGTCTATCACCAACTCCCAGAGCTTGCCCAAACTCATGTCCATCAAGTTGATACCATCCAACCAACCCATCCTCTGTCGTCCCCTTCTCCTTCAATCTTGCTCAGCATCAAGGTCTATTCCAATAAAAAGTCAGTTCTTCGCATCACGTGGCCAAAGTATTGGAGCTTCAGCTTCAGCATCAGTCCTTCCAATGAATATTCAGGACTGACTTCCTCTAGGATTGACTGGTTTGATCTCCTTGCAGTCCAAGGGACTCTCAAGAGTCTTCTCCAGCACCACAGTTCTTCGGTGCTCAGCTTTCTTTATGGTCCAACTCTCACATTCATACATGACTACTCGAAAAACCATAGCTTTGACTAGATGGACCTTTGTCAGCAAAGTAATGTCTCTGCTTTTTAAAATGCTGTCTGGGTTGGTCAGAGCTTTTCTTCCAAGGAGCAAGCATCTTTTAGTTTCATAGCTGCAGTCACCATCTGCAGTGATTTTGGAGCCCCCCAAAATCAAAGTCTCTCACTGTTTCCCATCTATTTGCCATGAAGTAATGGGACCAGATGCCATGATCTTAGTTTTCTGAATGTGGAGCTTTAAGCCAACTTTTCACTCTACTCTTTCATTTTCATTAAGAGGCTCTTTAGTTCCTCTTCATTTTCTGCTGTAAGGGTGGTGTCATCTGCATATCTGAGGTTATTGATATTTCTCCCGGTAATCTTGATTCCAGATTGTGCTTCATCCAGCTTGGCATTTCAAGTGATGTACTCTGCATGTAAGTTGAATAAGCAGGGTGACGATATACAGCCTTGATGTACTCCTTTGCCGATTTGGAACCAGTCTCTTGTTCCATGTCCAGTTCTAACTGTTGCTTCTTGACTTGCATACAGATTTCTCAGGAGGCAGGTCAGGTGGTCTGGTATTTCCATCTCTAAGAATTTTCCACAGTTTGTTGTGATCCACACAGTCGAAGACTTTGGCGTAGTCAATAAAAATATCAAAAGGGAAATTATAATCTCAAACGATCATTTCCTCATATCCTGCCCAGCCCTACTTTTAGCATAATCTTTAGCCTGCCTTCCATTATTCCTATGAACTGTGTATGTAAATACTGCAGTACAATTTTTATCTTGCTGCTGCTGCCAAGTTTCTTCAGTCGTGTCCGACTCTGTGCGACCCCATAGACAGTAGCCCACCAGGCTCTGCTGTCCCTGGGATTCTCCAGGCAGGAACACTGAAGTGGGTTGCCATTTCCTTCTCCAATGCATGAAAGTGAAAAGGAAAAGTGAAGTCGCTCAGTCGTGTCCAACTCCTAGCGACCCCATGGACTGCAGCCAACCAGGCTCCTCCATCCATGGGATTTTCCAGGTAAGAGTACTGCAGTGGGTTGCCATTGCCTTCTCCACAATTTTTATCTTAGATCATACAAAATGAAATTAGAGAAAATCTGTTTTAAAAAAACAAAGCCAGGGATTTCCCTGGAGGTCCTCTGGTTAGGCCTCCACACTTCCCCTGTAGGGGATGCAGGTTCATTCTCTGGTCGGGGAACTAATATCCTACAAACCCTGTGGCACAGCCAAAAAATAAAAGACAAAGCCTGTAATCCAGAATTTTACTGCTCAGGAGCCCAAAGGAGTTATTTTCTGAGATTCATATCTTTCTAGAGAGGAACAGTTCACTCATAGATAGGCAACTTGGATTTTAGACATAATTCTACTAATTAGCTGCTTTTGACTTTGAGCAGTTGACTTAACCCTGCTTTAGGGAAATCGTTTGGAGAATTATTGTGAAGGTTAAGTGGGAAGGTTTATGTGAATCTTAATAGGTTTAACTCTTCTGTGACTTCTTGAAGGGAGAGTGGTAAGAGAAACTCTAGCATCCTTGTTGAAGGAATGAAAAGTGAAAATGTTAATCGCTCAGTTGTGTCTGACTTTTCGACCCCATGGACTGTAGTTCGCCAGGCTCCTCTGTCCATGGAATTCTCCAGGCAAGAATACCAGAGTAGGTAGCTGTTCCCTGTTCCAGGGGATCTGCCTGACCCAGGGATCAAACCCAGGTCTCCTACATTGCAGGGAGATTCTTTACCATCTGAGCCACCAGGGAACTCCACCTATAACTAAATACAGGAATCTGGAGATATCGGTCTCCACTCTGGAATCAGCTTCAAGAGCCTGCCATTTGAGCTTGCAGTGAACCCACCAGTGCCACTTGCCCTACAGTGAAGTTGTGTCAAATTCATGAAACACAAACACAAAACAGAAAGGGAGTCATTCCACCTGTCTCCAGACTCAGCGGGTGTACTGATCTGTATTGTACTTTGGGGGAAATTTTAGTAATTTTTTTCAGTATGTAATTTTAGTCTGGCACACTGACTTTAGAACTTAAAATCCTCCCCACCCCAATAAGATTCAATTCTATTTGTACAGAGTTCATTTTGATGCCTTTTCATGTTTTATCCAGTGTGTTAGTCATTCCATTTAGTCTGTGTTAAATAATAACATTCGTAATAATATCTTCATAAAACCTATCACTTTGATATAAAGATAACATTTAATTCACTTTGAATTTATTAGGCATCCATGTATGCATCTTTGAAGAACTATTATAGTTAAAAATAAGATGCAGTAAAGTAGGTAACAGGATTCATCCCAGTTTTTTCACTATTGAACCATTTTGTGATTTGGGGGACAAGTCCCTTTTCTCTAGGCCTTGATTTTCTAGACATCTAAAATTTTCAATTCTTATATGACAGGTTCTTGTTCTCAATTTATAATTGAAAAAGCATTCAAAATGATATAACTACATGCTAGATAAAAAGAAGTCCCAAAACAAAGTGCATGTTATAACAAGTGAGGAAGAATTAGACTCTATAGGATCCTTATACCTGTTAATAAATTCTGTTTTTTAATACACAATGGAATATTCAGTTCAGTTCAGTTCAGTCGCTCAGTCGTGTCTGACCCTTTGCAACCCCATGAATCGCAGCACTCCAGGCCTCCCTGTCCATCACCAACTCCCGGAGTTTACTCAAACCATGTCCATTGAGTCGGTGATGCCATCCAGCCATCTCATCCTCTGTCGACCCCTTCTCCTGCCCCAAATCCCTCCCAGCATTACTCAGCTATTAAAAAGAATGCATTTGAATCAGTTCTAATGAGGGGGATGAAACTGGAGCCTATTATACAGAGTTAAGTAAGTCAGAAAGAAAAACACCAATATAGCATAATAATGCATATGTGTGGAATTCAGAAAGACGGTAATGATGACCCCATATGCAAGACAGCAAAAGAGACACAGATGTAAAGAACAGACTTTTGGACTCTGTGGGAGAAGGTGAGATTGGGATGATTTGAGAGAATAGCATTGAAACATGTATATTACCATATGTGAAACAGATTGCCAGTCCAGGTTCTATGCATGAGACAGGGCACTCAGGGCCAGTGCACTGGGATGACCTGGAAGGATGGGATAGGGAGGGAGGTGAGATGGGGGTTCAGGATGGGGAACACATGTACACTGATGGCTGATTCATGTCAATGTATGGCGAAAACCACTACAATATTATAAAGTAATTAGCCTCCAATTAAAATAAGTTAATTTAAAAAATATATACAATAATATATATACACTGGCAATTTTCAGTGCAGACTCAAACTGCTGAGCTTTTGTTATTGCTAAGTTTAGTTTTTAATGCCTTTTGGGTCATTTCATGCTGATAGATTGCCACTTCTTGAGAAGTGGACTTGAAGTTACTTGAGAAGTAACTGCATTTGTGAAAATTCCATATTAAAAATAAAGACAGAAATGGAGTAACTTGTTGCACACATAGCTTGGGTTGATCTCAAGGGAATTAACCTTAAGTGAAAAAAAAAAGCCAAACTAAAAGGTTACATTGTGTAATTCATTTATATTGCATTCTTGAAATGACAAAATTACATACTTGGGGACCAAGTTAGTAGTATCCAGGGGTTAAGGAGGGAAGGGACAGTGACAAAAAGATGGTAGGTGGGAGCTTTGTAATGGAATTATTAGTGGTGATCATATGAATCTTAGCATGATATAATTGCCCAGAACTAAATACACAATGAGTACATATAAAACTGATAAAATATGAAGGAGGACTGAATTGTATCAATGTCAATTTCCTGGATTTGATATTATACTATAGTTATACTAACAGAAGCTGAAGATATTAAGAAGAGGTGGCAAGAATACACTGAGTGAGTGAGTG